GATACTAATAAAAATAGCTCAAAACTTTTGTTAAACAATGCACTATGCACCTTCCTTGGGGGGAGAAGGGGGAGAGCGCTTTGTTAGAAAAATCCTGTGGAGCCGAGACTGGTTTGGCTCAGTGGATAGAGCATCGGCCTGTGGACTGAAAGGTCCCGGGTTCGATTCCAGTCAAGGGCATGTACCTTGGTTGCAGGCACATCCCCAGTAGGGGGTGTGCAAGAGGCAGCTGATCGATGATTCTCTCTCATTGATGTTTCTAATTCTCTATCCCTCTCTCTTCCTCTCTGTGAAAAATCAATAAAATATATTTTTTTTATAAAAGAAAAAGAAAAGAAAAAATAAAGAAAGAAAAAGAAAAATCCTGTGGAACAGGCCCCCATGGCCCTCCTGGAGAAGACGAAGGCCTCAGAGAAGTTAAGTCACTTGCCCATGAGCACACACAGGTCTACAACCTGCTGTGCCTTCCCTCCTAAGGAGCCTCAGGCTGCCTCCACGTCACATTGTAAACAGGCCTCAGTGGGCATTCTCCGGCATGGAGCTGTGTTCCCTGGAGCATGTGTAGGCTGGATGATTGGAAATGCTGGGCTGGTGCTGATTGTTAAGTTTGAGAGATTCTTGCCCCCAGACAGACTACCCATTCACACCTCACCAGAAGGGCATGCAAGTCTCCTTTTCTTCACAACCTCCTCAGGACTTGATATGACCAGTCTTTGCCTCTGTGTCAATCTGTCCAGTAAAAAAGCTCACTTTCGCTCTGGCTGGTATTGTTAAGTGGTTAGCATGTCAGCCTGTGCAGTTCCAATCATTCATGGCACCTGTGGGAGGCAACCAATCGATATGTCTCACATAGATGTTTCTCTCTCTCTCTTTCCCTCCATTCCTCCCTTCCACTCTCTAAAGATCATGGACACAGACAATACAGGGGCGGGACAGTTTGTGGTAGAGGAGTCAATGGGAAAAACAAACAAACAAACAAACAAACAAACAAAGGGGACATCCGTAATACTTTCAATAATAAAGATAAATTTAAATAAATAAATAATAATAAAAACCAATGGAAAGAAGATCCTCTGGTGAGGATTAACAACAATAAAAACTGCACTTTTGATGCAGGAACGGAACTGCCACTTGCTCCCTGCAGACCTAAGTCTGGGACTCCATCCTCACAGCCCATGGCAAGCATGACCCTGCTTTACCTACACCAAAGCTTAGGCTCAGAGAGGAAGGAGTTTGCCAAGGCCCCGCCCCAACCCCTGCCACCTCCAGAGTGCAGCGCTTCGGCTGGGCTGTGCAGGGAGCCTCTTAAAGAGGTGCTTGAAGAGACTTGAAGGAAGAAACGGAGGCAGCAGGTGGACTATGTAAAAACGCTTAAAGTAATGCATGTCTCTCCAGAAGCAGATATTTCTCTCTTGTTAGTCACCCTGGGCTGTAAGTGGCATTGAGCCAGCGGCACTTCTTGGACTGGGGATTGATGTCCTGTGATCACAGATGTATTAGTCATGTTTTTTCTGGATGAAATTATAGAAACCCAACTCAGGATAACTAAAGGAAGGTGTTTTTCACCGGCTCACCTAACCAGAACTCTAAGCATAGCATTAATGCCAGGCATGGCCAGATCACGTTCTGAAATGATGTCTCTCTTTAGCTCTGGATTCTGCTTTCTTCACTGATGGCCTTATTCTTACACAGGCACATCCCACAATGGGACAAAGATGTCAGCTGCATCTAACTTAACAACTCCATGGAAAGAGTATACCTGTTTTTCACTAGAGGAAGCAAAAATCCTAGGGCAGATTCTCATTGGTCCAGTTTGGTCATGTGCTCTTCCTTGAAGCAATCATAGTGACCTGAATGTGCCCACCTTTGTAGACAGGTGGGCTAGGGGTGCAACAGATACTGAGAATGGGGAAAGGTACTTCTCAAAGGGAAATCAAGTCTTTATTATCAAAATAGGGAGGGGGGCAGAGTTCATGAGGAAGAAACTCCTGCTGGCCTCTAGAAGAAGAGACGGCGAACCCAAAGATGGCATGTGAGATCATTTGAAGAGTGTGGGAAAGAGGGTTGGGTGGGGACCACTCTGCTGAGCCCCCATCAACATCCCACTTTGCCGAGTTGAACTGGAGGCCCGAGAACATTGGGGAGAAATCTCAGTCCTTTCTCCCCTCCTCGCACAGAAGAGAATAGAGAAACGAAGACTGGGCACGCATGCCCTGTGTAGATGTTGCCAGCTCTGCCTCAGAGGAGCTGATTCCAAGGTTACCAGATGGTGGAGTCAGCTATGAGATACAACTGTTACCGACGGCCTGTGGTGTGCAAGAGAGAGCATCTCATGCAGTGGCTGGCACACAGTAGGTGTGCATAGTGACTAATCGTTTGTGCTGTGTGATAAGTACAATAGCAGAATTACCTTGAGGCATCTCCCCACACCCCGATTTCCTTGCTCAAACTTCAACCTCTCCCTTCTAATATGATGGTTTTGTTAACCAATCCCTGCTTCCCCTCCATACCGCCATGGCCTCCAGCCCTCTAGGCCTTGTCCTCCACGTCTGTCCTCGACAGAGCATTTTCAGGACGCTCCTCTGAGCCCTCTGCAGCTCCCTTCCATCCCTAGCAGGCCAGGGCCTGGAATCGCACACCGCCTACGGCAGCGAACACACCCGGGTGCCGGGCAGGCTGCAGCCCAAACACAGAGTCTTTGGTGAGAACCGATCAGGCCGGGCTTCTGCCCTGGGCGACAGGCCGTCTCCCCGCAGATGGCCCACATCGCAGGACGTTCTTGGGCTTTGGAGTCTGCAGAGCTGCGTTTAAATGGCAGGCTCTTGCTGCTGGTGGCGCCTCAAGTCTCAGTGTCCTGATCTGAAAGAGGACAGACCCCCTCCCTACGCAGTGCCTGAGAGCATCGCTGCCTGGGTTATCCCAGCTCTGACCTTGGGTGACTGACTTCATGACTCAGGCATGGGGGTATTGTTTTTAATCCCTAAAATGGGGATATTAATAGTTATTATGGGGGTTAAGTGAAATATATGTGAAGTGCTTAGCTCAGTACTTTGGTGCAGAGTAAATATATAAACTTTAGGGTTTTGTGCTTGTTTTTTGAGGTATAATTGACTTTTAGCATTAGTGTCAGATGTACAGCGTAATGATTCACCATCTGTACATACAGTAGACCCTTGAGCACGGGTTTGAGCTGCACGGGTCCTCTTACATACGGACAGTTTCAATAGACATCCATTCAGCTCTCCCGATCCGCCGGTTTCACAGCTGCATTCAGCCAGGCGAGGGCCTTTCAGTCCGTGCTGGGGGCTCCGCTAGCTGGGCCACTGGAGGCCTGGTCTGCGCCAGGTGAAGTAAGGACTTCAGCACCCGGGGACTGGGTGACCTCGGGGTCACGGAACCAACCCCCCCAGAGACCCAGGGACAACTGTAGTTACGTTTTTAAAAAAGCTTTTTAATGTTGTTGTTTTTTTTAATTGATTTCAGAGAGAGGAAGGGAAAGAGAAACACTGTTGTGAGAGAGAAACATCCATCTGTTGCCTCCCAAAGGTACCCCAACTGGGGTTCAAACCCACAACCTGTACTGAGAATCGAACCCGAAACCCTCCAGTGTACAGGACGGCACTCCAACCCCTGGGCCAGGACTGTAGTTAAGCTTCTGAGGAATCAAAAGTTATACTTGGATTTTTTACTTTGTGGGGGTGGAGGTAGAGGTATTGGTGTCGTTCCTAACCCCACGTGGCTCAAAAGGCAACTGCACTGGGAAATGATCACCACAATAAGTCTAGTGAAAATTTGCCACCAGGTGTAGTTACAAAAAAGGTTTTTCTTTGTGATGAAAACTTTAAATATTTACTCTCTTAGCAACTTTTTGTTTTATTTTACTTTTATGTTCTTGTGGGGTTTTTTGCTGTTGTTAAATATATTTTTATTTATTTTAGAGAGGAAATGAGGAGGAAGAGATAGAAACATCAATGATGAGAGAGAATCATTGATCAGCTGCCTCCCACAAGCCCACACATGGGGGTTCAAGCTCACAACCCAGGCAGATGCCCTGACCGGGAATCGAACCGTGACCTCCTGGTTCATAGTGGATGCTCAACCACTGAGCCGTGCCAGCCGGCCTCTTTTTTATTTCTTTATCGTTTATTTACCAAGAGGACAATTCTTCAGCTCAAATAGCCCTGTCTCATAGTTCAGGAACACAGCTCAGGGACAAGCTTCCATGGAATCCAACCCAAAGAAATTCTTTGCATTTCAAGATCCCTTCGCACTCTGAAAGATGCCAGCCTTCTTCGTCTCCTCAAAACCTTCCCTGGGATTACAGTTCCTGTAGGAATCCGCACGTGTCTTCTTTCTTGGTCTCCCCTCCTCTCGCGGGCTCTCCCCCCCCCCAGCAAACTTACAGAAAGCTTCAACCCCTGGGACACAACGATGGCTCCAACAGTGTGCAATCGCAGGCGCCTGGCCCAAAGGCCACGCATCTGGTCTCCTCCGAGCCCTGGAGACATGTAGATCTTTTCCTCAACTCCAGCCTCCATCCTGCTAGAGAAATGGGCCCTTAGCGGCTTGCAAATACGCAATACAGTGTGTTAACTGCCGTCATCACCTGGATTTGTTTTATAGCTGGGAGTTCGTAACTTTGACCCCCTTCACCCATTTTCTCCACCCGCTCCACCTGCCACTGGCAACCACCAATCTAGGAATCGATGAGGGTTTTTGTTTTGTTTTGTTTTAGATTCTACATATAACTGAGATTAGACATATTTGTTTTTCTCTGACTTATTGTATTTCACTTAGCATCCATGTGGTGGCAAATGGCAAAATCCTTTTTTATGGCTGAATAATATTCCTATATATATGTGTGTGTGTGTGTGTGTGTTTGGGATTGCATAATGAGTGCAGAGGACTTAACCCAGGATGGGGAGGGGGACAGGGGCGGGAGCTGTCTGTTGGCCCAGCTTGGTTGGGGTGCAGGAAGGCTAACTGCCCCTCTGTCTCAGGTGCTGTCCCATAACCTGTACACGGTCCTGCACATCCCCCACGACCCTGTGGCTCTGGAGGAGCACTTCCGAGATGATGACGATGGACCAGTGTCCAGCCAGGGGTACATGCCCTACCTCAACAAGTACATCCTGGACAAGGTGGGTCCACCCCCCAGCCAGCATTCCAATACATGTCCTCACCTATAAACTCCCACTCTGTCTCCCCCTGTACCTCCCTCATTTCCGCCCTCCATTCCCAGCCGCTCACCCCTCCATGCCCCTCTTAGCTCACCTTCGGTCTCCCTTAGCTCTCTCCTAGCCTCCACCCTTCCCATAGCTTCCCACCCCGTCCCTGCTAAGGCTCACCTTCCGCTTCCGGCTGCAACCTGTAAAAGAGCTCCCCGGATCCCCCTCTGCCATCCCCCCAGCTGTCACTGTCTTCTCAGCTTCTCCTTGACTGTCCATCCCCCGGGCCTTCCTTCTCTCTCCTCCGGCTAAGGGAACTGGGGTGGATATGTGGATGTGGGGTGGGGGGAGATGGGCAGGGTGGTTGGAACCAGCTAGTTACCTGCTGCTAGTCAGCTCAGGATACCTCAGTTAGAGGGGGACTTGGCTGGGTGGGGAGCAGGAGAGTAGATGATCTGAGAAGCCAGCTGGAGCCGGGAGTGGGGGAGAGCCGGCCAGGGCAGCCTCCTGGGCTGACCTGCGGGCCTGGTGGCAGGTGGAGGAGGGGGCTTTCGTTAAGGAGCACTTTGATGAGCTGTGCTGGACCCTGACGGCCAAGAAGAACTACCGGGCGGACAGCAACGGGAACAGCATGCTCTCCAATCAGGATGCCTTCCGCCTCTGGTGCCTCTTCAACTTCCTGTCTGAGGACAAGTACCCCCTGATCATGGTTCCCGATGAGGTGAGGGTGATAGCAGCCCCAGGGGCTGCCCCAGTTGAGGCCAAACCATGAAGGAAGGCCAATGGCCTTTGTACATTTCCACATCCCCTTTCCTCTCTGTTCTCCACCCAGCTACTGCAGGCACCTCACTGCCCCTGTCAGAACACCTGTGCCTTCTCCCAGGAGAAGCAAAACCACGCCTCCTCAGGCCCCGCTGGCCTCACAGCAGGAAAATGACCTGCAATTCTATTTACACAGAGGTGTGAATGCCGGGCACATTACTGGGCACTTATAAACAAAAGCATTGAAGACCAGATGGCAGGATTTGAGGCACGTGGCCTTGAGAAGGTGCACTACGAGGTGAAGGAGAGCTTTCTAGGACCTCTCTCAGTTACTCCAGGTGGACAACTGAGTCTGACCTGGCCCCAGATTCTCCCTCCGGCCACAGCACAGGCAGAGCAGGGCAGACTCAACGTAGGACCAGGGCGGCTCCTGGGAGTAGAGGCCAGGAATCCACCCTCCCTCCTCAACTCACCAGAGAGGCCAGGGCCCCTCCTCCAGTCAGCCTGCCGCCCTCTGCCCTCCACCCTCTCCATCTGCTCAGCCTTCTTCAGCCCATGAAGCCCTCCTGGCTGTGAGGATGTCTGGGTGAACTTACGTCTTTAGATGAGGGCAGACAGGGAGGGGTCTTCGTATTTACAAGAAGCACTCACAGGTCTGACTGCCCTCAGATTTGTCTCCTTGCTTCTGTTTGTGAGAACACTGAGGGGAGCCACCTGAGCCCTGAACTGGCGCACCCCACCCCAGTCCCCGCTGAGGCCTGGGGTTTCCCCTGAAGCTGCTGGGGCAGGAGAGGGACCTGTGTCCATCTACAGACCCTGGGGATGGCAGCCTTGCAGACCCTGCCAGTCAGGGTAGGGCCTCCCAGAGGCTGCTTTCTGCTGTGATCGGCACGCAGTGGGAACCAACTGCAGCAGGATGTACCCCAACCACCATTTCCGGTTCCTCCGCAACAGGTTTCCTGTCCCTGCCCTGCTTTCCCCCACCGCCAGGCCCCACGCCCTCCCAGAAGGGGGGGTCCCCAGGGCCGGGCTCGGAAGAGGGCTCACATGGGATTTGGGAGATCCCAGTCAAGATTTGGCTGCCACCAACTTGTTGTGCGATTTAGAACAAGTCACTTCCCCCTTCGGGCCCCAGTTTTGTCATCTGTTCAATGAGGGTATTGGGTTGCACCCCTTCTGATATATTCTGTGACCTGCTGCCCCTGCCCAGCCCCTGCCTAGCCCACAGTGCCAACCCTCACTTGCCCTTAATTTCAGGCAGGAAGGACTGGGACTGTAGGTTGGAGAAAGGGAGTGGATGCCTGACTTGGCGTTGGGACTCCAGGATCCCCTTCCAAATCTCTCCCCTGGTCCACCGGTTTAGTTCTCTGCCCCCTCTCCCAGCCCTGTTCCTGGTCACCTCCGCCCAGGCCCTGGGAGCCCGGTGATGGGGGGAGAGCACTGCCGGGCAGTCAGCGGGCCTCTCCCCTGCAGGTGGAGTACCTGCTGAAGAAGGTGCTCAGCAGCATGAGCTTGGAGGTGAGCCTGGCGGAGCTGGAGGAGCTGCTGGCCCCGGAGGCCCCGGCAACCCAGACCAGCGGGGGGCTGAGCGTCTGGCAGTTCCTGGAGCTCTTCAACTCGGGCCGCTGCCTCCGCGGCGTGGGGCGGGACACCCTCAGCATGGCCATCCACGAGGTCTACCAGGAGCTCATCCAGGATGTCCTGAAGCAGGTCAGGCCGAGCGGGCAGCCGGGGAGGAGCCAGGAGGAGTGGAGGGGGCCTGAAGCCTCTGACCTTGCCCTGTCTGGCAGGGCTACCTGTGGAAGCGCGGCCACCTGAGGAGGAACTGGGCGGAGCGCTGGTTCCAGCTGCAGCCCAGCTGCCTCTGCTACTTCGGGAGCGAAGAGTGCAAGGAGAAAAGGGGCACCATCCCCCTGGACGGGCAGTGCTGTGTGGAGGTAAGGGGCCCAGGAAAGGCTGGCGCACACCTCAGGGCACACAAGGCCTTCCGGGAGGGTGAGGACAACAGGCTCCGGATGAGGGTGAGTGGGGAAAACACAGTGGCAATTTCTGCTTAGATGCGTGTAACCCAATATACTTGGCTTGTGGGCTCAATGCCCAGTATGGCGAGTGCAGGAGGCAGCCCGTCAAAGTGTCTCTCTCATCCATATTTCTCTCTCTCTCTCTCTCTCTCTCTCTCTCTCTCTCTCTCTCTCTCTTCCTTCTTTTCTGAAATCAATTAAAATATATATATTTTTTTACCCTTAGTTGGTTTGGCACAGTGGATAGAGTGATGGCCTTCAAACAGAATGGTCCCCGGTTTGATTCCCATCGGGGAGCATATTCCCAGGTTGTGGGCTCCATCCTTAGTGGGGAGTGTGCAGGAGGCAGCCGATCAATGATTCTCTCTCATCATTTATGGTTGTTGTTGTTGTTTTTTTCTCTCTCTCTCCCTTCCTCTCTGAAATCAATAAAAATATATATTTAAAAAATATATATGTATATATATTTTAAAAACCTGCAAAGCCATTGGTAAATAATGTGGGTTTTGCTAAAGATTTCAGAGGAGACAGCTTATGTCTCACACTACCCAGCAAAACCTCAAAATCCCCTTTAAAGGTCTTTCTCCTTCACCCAAGTCCATTCCCTTTGGCAACTCTTCACCTCCTTGTTCTGTCTCCTCACTCCTCTCCTTTCCCCTTCCTCTCCCTTCGCCTCCCTTGGCTCTGTCCATTACTATTTTAGAGCAAGCATGTCAAACTCAAAGGCTAACATGGGCCAAATAAGAAGGTGTGAGTTTCTGTGGGCTGCAAAAAAACAAAAGCTTCAGTTTTCATAGAAACGTGGGTTTATTTCAATAGAGACATTCTGAATACCAAGGGCTGAAATAAATGAGTCATCATTAACATAAAATAATAGAACATTTTAATAAAAATTAACATTTTTTCTTGAACATTAACTTACCAGACACTGAATAACTACACAAATTAATAAGCGTAATGCAAATAAACCAATTTTTCTTGTTCTTCGAAAGCAAAATATTTCCTGTTGTGCACACCAAACAAGTCAGTCCAAGACTAATGACGTGGAAATTGGCTGCTAAAATATTCGCTGCTGGTATTAGTGGAGAGAAATGGTGCGCCTGCACATAAGTCATGTAAGGGAAATGAATGCAACACGTTTATAGTAATCAGTCATTAGCAAACATTGTAGTTCGTTATTAATAACTAGAGGCCCAGTGCACGAATTCGTGCATGGGTGGGGTCGCTCCGCCTGATCAGCAATGAGGGCTGATAGGGGCTATCTCTCCCAATTGGGGCCGATTGGGGCTGGCCAGCCAGGGAGAGAGACCACAGGAGGTTGGTCGGCCATAAATGGCTGGCTGTGGAAGTACACTGACCACCGGGGGGCATCCCCTGTGTTGAATGTCTGCTGCCTGGTGGTCAGTGTGTATCATAGCAACTAGTTGACTGGCCATTCAGTAGATCAGCTGTAACAGCTGTTTAGGCATTTATTTATTTATTTATTTATTTATTTATTCATTTATTTATTATGTATTTTTATTGATTTCAGAAAGTAAGGGAGAAGGAGAGAGAGATAGAAACATCAACGATGAGAGAGAATTATTAATCAGCTGCCTCCTGCTTCCCCCCTACTGAGCCTGCATCCCCAGGCATGTGCCCTTTACTGGGATCGAACCTGAGACTGTTTAGTCCGCAGGCCAACACTGTATCCACTGAGCCAAACCAGCCAGGGCTAGGCTTTTATATATAAAGATTATGTATAACAGGATATTGTAAAAATTAAGTTACAAAGTTTTTATTAAAACGTTTATTACATACCATTATATTGACTGAGTCGCAAATTTTCATTGTGGGCCACATAAGGCCTGTGGGCCACGAATTTGACATGTTTGTTAGAAGCTTAAAGCAAAAAGTTTCTGTTGGTTGGTTTGGTTTTTAAATAATGATAAAAATATTTATTGATTTCAGAGAGGAAGGGAGGGGAGAGAGATAAAAACATCAATGATTGGCTGCCTCCTGTAGATCCCACACTAGGATCTGAGCCCACAACCCAGGCATGTGCCTAACCAGGAATTGAACCGGAACCTCCTGGCTCATAGGTCAATGCTCGACCACTGAGTCATGCTGGCCAGGCACAAAAAGTTTTTTAATAGTAGAAAAATATATGTATAATAAGAAATTTGCCATTTCAACCATTTTAAGTGTATAATTCAGTGCCATTAAATAGAGTCACAGTGTTGTGTAGCCATCACCATCATCTATTTCCAAAACTTTTTCATCATCCCAAATAGGAATTCTGTACCCATTAAGCAATAACTCATCCTCACCCAGCCCTCCTTTGTCTCCATGAATAAGTATTCTAGGCACCTCATATAAATGGAATAGTACAATATTGGTTTTCTGTGTGTCTGGCTTATTTCTCTCAGCATAATGTTTCCAAGGTTCATCATGTTGTGGCATGGATCATGAATTCATTCCTTTCCATGGCTGAATTATATTCCATTGTAGATATACGACATTTTGCTTCTCCATTTATTTGTTGGTTAGAGGCCTGGTGCATGAATTTGAGCATGGTGGGGTCTGGCTGAGGGGAGGTGCCACAGGCAATTGGCTGTCTAACCCTGCCCCTGATTAAAGTGTTGGGAGCGGATTGTGGGTGGGGTCAGCCTTTCTTGCTCAGACCCTAGCAGTAAGCTAACCTATCAGTTGGAGCGTCTGCCCCCTGGTGGTCAGTACGCATCATAGTTGAGCAGCCTTAGCATATCATTAGCATATTATGCTTTGATTGGTTGAACGAATAGACGAACGACCAGCGACATAGCACATTAGGCTTTTATTATCTTGGACTAGAGGCCCAATGCACAAAAACTCATTCAAGAGTAGGCCTTCCTTACCCTGGCTGCCAGCACAGCTTTCCTCTGGCACCCAGCACATAAGGCTTCCCTGCTCCAGCTGCTGGCAGGTTCCCAGGACCCCAGCCAGCTTCCCTCGGGCCCTGGCTTTGTCAGGAAGGATGTCTGGATGTCCAGAAGGTCGTTCAGCTGTCCGGTCTAATTATCATATTACCCTTTTATTATTATAGATAGCCATTGGGTTGCCATCTGTTTGCTATCCTATATAATTAAAGGATAATATGTATAATGACCCTAATGGCCGAACGACTGGGAACGACTGGTTGCTATGATGTGCACTGACCACCAGGGGGCAGACACAATGCAGGAGCTGCCCCCTGGTGGTCAGGGTGCTTCCACAGGGGGGGTGCTGCTCAGCCACAAGCTGGGCTGATGGCTGTGCTAAGGATATCTGGCAGGCGGACATCCCCTGAGGGGTCCTGGACTGGAAGAGGGCACAGGCCAGGCTGAGGGATGCCTGCCCCTCACTCCTACCCCTCGGTGCACGAGTTTTCATGCACCAGGCCTCTGGTTGTGAATAATGCTGTTATGAATATCTGTGTACAAATTTCTGGGGGGAGATGTGTTTTCATTTATCTGAGTACAAACCTAGGAGTAGAATTGCTGGACCATAGGGTTATTCTATTTAACTTTTAGAGGTATAAACTGTTTCCCATAGTGGCTGCACCTGCTTACATTCTTACCAGCAGTGTATGAGGGTTCCAGTTTCTCCACATCCTCACCAACACTTGCTATTTTACATTTTTAAAAATTATTATAGCCACTCTAGACTCTGTCCATTTTTGCCAAATGAGGAAATAGGTGTCACTGTGGAAAGAACACAGATCTAGGCAGAAATCCCAACTCCACCACTAACAGGCCGTGTGAATTGGGCAAGTTCCGGGCCTCTCAGAGCCTCGGTTTCTTCCTCTGTAAAGTGAGATAAGGAGGCCTGGCTGACACGGCTGTCTGGGAGGAGTGAATAAAATGATGCATATAAAACACTAGTACAGACCCTACAACGTAAGAAGCTCAAAACATGGTAACTATTATTTTCCACTGGAGTGTAGCTTAGGGAAGGCAGGGAGAGATTTGGTCTGTGAGGCACACCTCAGTATCCCACATGCCTGAACAATGAGTGGCACTCAGTAGACCCTCCAAAATATCTGTGAAATGACTGAATGGAGAACATTCTGGATAGTGAGGACCCGGTCACTGGAGGTGTTCAAGCATGATCTGCATGAACACTGAGGGGGACTAGATCTAGGCTACCAAGATGGAAATAGCCCACTCCGCCTTCAAAGAGCAAAGCCTACAAGAGCTGTGAGGACACACGTAGCCCCAGAACTAACTCCAACCTGAGTACACAGGCTCCTGGCAAACGGTGGGAGGGCGGCCAGGGAAGATGGTCAGCCAGAAGGGGTAGGGGCTAGAGCTGGAGCTGGAGCTGGAGCTGGAGCTGGAGCGCCCCTGGGGCAGGGCGGGTGTGGCCCTGACCTCAGTGAGGCCAGCCTGCCCGGACACCTGTCCTCTCCCAGGTGCTGCCTGACCGCGAGGGGAAACGCTGCATGTTCTGCGTGAAGACAGCCTCCCGCACATACGAGATGAGCGCCTCGGACACGCGCCAGCGCCAGGAGTGGACGGCTGGTGAGCTGCTCACGGGTGGCCGGGGCCTGGCGGGCCTCACGCCCACCTGTGTAAGCGGGCAATGACACTTTGCCCAGCGGCGGGCCAGCCGCCTGCTGATTCCTCCCGCTCCCTTCGCAGCCATTCAGATGGCCATCCGGCTGCAGGCCGAGGGGAAGACGTCGCTGCACAAGGACCTGAAGCAGAAGCGGCGGGAGCAGCGGGAGCAGCGGGAGCGGCGCCGGGCCGCCAAGGAGGAGGAGCTGCTGCGGTTGCAGCAGCTGCAGGAGGAGAAGGAGCGGAAGTTGCAGGAGCTGGAGCTGCTGCAGGAGGCGCAGCGGCAGGCGGAGCGCCTGCTGCAGGAGGAGGAGGAGCGGCGCCGCAGCCAGCACCACGAGCTGCAGCAGGCGCTGGAGGGCCAGCTGCGCGAGGCCGAGCAGGTGAGGCCGCTGGGGGCGGGGCCGGGCCGGGGCGGGGCTAGGAGTGGGCGGGGCCTGTGAGGCGAACGACTGGGTTGGAGTGGAGGAAACTGGCAGCGGGGTGGCTTACGGGAAGGGAAGGTGTGAGGTGGGGCTTGAGCCAACGGATGGGTGGGGCCGGAGCCGCTAAAGACCACGTCATTAGGGATGAACGTGGATTCAGGTTGGAATAGATTACACTAGACCTGATCTGAGGTTACAATGAAACCAATTTGGGGAATTCAGGATGGGAGGAAGGGGGGCTGGAAGTGGGGGCGTACTCAGCGTGCAGAGGCAATTAGATTTAGGGGTTAAGAGATCCAGAACTGGATTTAGGCACGTGCATTCATTCCCAGCGCTGCCCCTTCGGAGCCCTGGGAGCTCCGGCAAGGTACCCAGCCTCTCAGTCCCTCAGTGACCTATCCGTGGGGTGTGGCTGCAGGGGTTTGGTGAGGGTCAACTGTTATAACAGCTGTTATAACAAGTATTCTAATTATAGTCACTCCCTCCCTAGCACTGGCCTTAATTATAACACACTATGTTATCACATATAGTAGTAATTAGTAAGCTGGTGCTAGGCAGGGGTGCCTTGAGCCCCTCTCCCCCTGCAGCATCAGCTCGCTGATTGTCCTCTGGATGGCCAGTCTCTCAGAAAGGGATCAGGTCAGGAGAGCCTGACATGGACACAGCCAGGAACTGGACCCAGAACCAGGAACTCCCCAAGCTCTCACTTGGAAATAACTAGTGGGGCCAGCCTAGCAGAACTCTGGGGAAAGGGCGCGCCCGCCGCCTCCCTGCCCTGTGCCCATTGCCCGGCTCTGCGCCCCGCAGGCCCGGGCGACCATGCAGGCTGAGATGGAGCTGAAGGAGGAGGAGGCTGCCCGGCAGCGGCAGCGCATCGAGGAGCTGGAGGACATGCAGCAGAGGCTCCAGGAGGCTCTGCAACTGGAGGTGAAAGCTCGGCGGGACGAGGAGGCCGTGCGCCTGGCCCAGACCAGGTAAGCCTGAGGGACCCCTCCGCCTCCCCTCCCCTGCTTCCCGCTGTCCTGGGCGCCTACCGGGTACCTTGGCTCTGGAGACTCAGTGCCCCCGCCGCCGGCAGGCTGCTGGAGGAGGAGGAGGAGAAGCTGAAGCGGCTGCTGCGGCTGAAGGAGGACCAGGAGCGCTACATCGAGCAGGCGCAGCAGGAGAAGCAAGAGCTGCAGCAGGAGATGGCCCAGCAGAGCCGCTCCCTGCAGTTGGCCCAGCAGCAGCTGGAGGAGGTGCGGCAGAACCGGCAACGGGCGGATGAGGACGTGGAGGTGAGGCCTGCGGAGGGACGGGGTGACTGGCAGAGACTGACAGAGTGAGGGAGGGAGGGAGGGAGGGAGGGAGGGAGAGCGGTAACCTCAGGTCCCCGCCTTTCCTTCAACCCTGGTTCCGTCCTCCTCTGGCTGTGACCTTGGAGAATGGCCTGACCTTTCTGAGTTCAAGTCCCTCACTGGGGAACGGGGCCTGGAATAGCATTGCTATGAGATTGAATGAGATAATAGGTGGTATTTCATATGTAGTAAGGGCTGAAGAAACATTAGCTGCTATTTTTAAAAAATACATGTTATTAACTTTTTTCAGAGAGGAAGGGAGAGGGAGAGGGAGAGAGAGTTAGACACATCAGTGAGAAACATCAGCTGCATCCTGCACACCCCCCATTGGGGATGTGCCTGCAACTAAGGAGAGGATGCAAAATACAGGGATAGCAAAATAGGATGTTGGAAGAGCAGGAGGAAAATTTTTGCCCAGATTAAGAGCAAAATAGCAGCTAGCGCCAAAACTGGTTTGGCTCAGTGGATAGAGTGTCAGCCTGCGTACTGAAGGGCCCCGGGTTCGGTTCCGATCAAGGGCATGTACCTTAGTTGCGGGCACATCCCCAGTAGGGGGTGTGAAGGAGGCAGCTGATCGATGATTCTCTCTCATCGATGTTTCTGACTATCTCTCTCTCTCTTCTTCTCTGTAAAAAATCAATAAAATATATTTTTAAAAAATAGCAGCTAGCCCTAACCGGGTTGGCAGAGTTATATACATAACTCTGAATATGCATAAGTTTCCTGAGGAGATGATCAGCAGCCTTGGTCACATCGTAAGGGGCCTGTGCAGCTGCAAAGGTTAAGGCACACTGTCTTGGATAGTGGCCCTTGGCCAGAATTGAACCTGGGACCCCTGAGTCCTCAGGTCGACGCTCTATCCACTGAGCCAAACCAGTTAGGGCTAGCTGCTATTTTTATCATCACTCTTAATCTGGGCAAAATTTTTCCTCCTACTCTTCCAAGATCCTATTTTGCTATCCCTGTATTTTACATCCTCTCCTTAAAGCACAAATCTCCGTGGAAGAGAGGTTATTTTGATGTTTTGTTTTTATTAGTATTGTTTACTTTATTTTGCTTTGTTGGCTTACGTGGCCATCATAAAAAATTCAAACACAAAAATATGTAACATAAGGAAAGGTCCCTCTATGACCCCACCCGCTCGGCTAACAGCGGGCAGACACTGGAGCAGAGGCTTGCACACTCCTCCCCGAGAGGCGGTGGGCCAGTGGTGCAGGTCAGCATGTGTCCCCGGCGAGTCACTGAACCTCTTCCGCACTTGTTTGTTGTTAACATCTGCTCTGGAGGTGGAATGAGATAATAAATATACTTAACACGCCTGGGCCGCTTAATAAATGGAAACTATAATTATGACTATTTGCAACCCTTTGGGAGGGGTCTGATGAGTCCCCTGAAATTGGATACTGACTCTGTGTATATGCGTGAGTTTCCTGAGGAGATGATCAGCAGCCTTGGTCACATCCTATGGGGCCTGTGCACCTGCCAAGGTCAAGGCAGCCCGCCTTGGATGGGGGCTCTGACCCGCTCCCCACCGCTGTGTCCCTCAGGCCGCCCAGCGGAAGTTGCGCCAGGCGAGCACCAACGTGAAACACTGGAATGTCCAGATGAACAGGCTCATGCATCCAATTGAACCTGGAGGTGAGAGCGGGCTAGACCTTGGAGCTCTCCCTGGAGGGCGGAGGGCGAGGGAGGGCGGGGGGTACCTCCTGATCTACAGAGCCTGCAGGGCTGAAGGCCAGAGGTCCTCTTCCCCCAGGGCTGAGGCCAGGCCTGTCAACCTCCCCCTTTCGCAGTACCTTTCTCCCGCCTCACGCCTGCCTTTTCCCTGCCAGACAAGCGTCCCACCACCAGCAGCTCCTTCACAGGCTTCCAGCCCCCGCTCCTGGCCCGCCGCGACTCCTCCCTGAAGCGCCTGACCCGCTGGGGGTCCCAGGGCAGCAGGACCACCTCCCCCAGCTCCAGTGAGCGGCAGAAGTCCCTCAACGGTGGGGACGAGGCTCCCATCTCGGCTTCCACCCCTCGGGAAGACAAACAGGACCCGGAACCAGAAAACTAGCCTCTGCTAGCCTCTTTCCCCCCAATCTCATGCCCACCAGGACCTGGCCACAGCTGGCCTGTGGGTTACGCTGGCCCCTGCGACAGAGGGAGCCGAGGACCTGGTGTCAGGGCTGAGGCCCTCCAGCCATGACACAATCCGGGAGGGAACCTAGTTTATTTTTTCATCAGCCCCAGGCCCCAGCCCACTAAGGCTGCCTGGGATGCTGATCCTTAAGAACTTGATCCGGTGCCTTAACCCCAAGGATCCTATGCCCTTGGCTGGAAAAGGGTAAACAAGCAAGCCAGGGGCCATCTGCCCCAGACCACCACCAAGCTGTGGAGGCACATTTCCGAATAAAAACTGTTCTTGGAGTGAATTATTGATCAGGTCTGCTGACCATTCTTCCTGCCATTTCCTCTCTTCCTCCCTCAAGCCTAGTCATAGGTCCAAGAAAGAATACGGTATATAGAACAGGGGCTAGGAAAGTACACTCTGCCACCTACTAACTGGGTGACTTTGGCCAAATTTCTATACCTCTCTGTGCTTTGGTTCCCAGGTTAGTAAGATAGGGATAATAATAGTACCTACCTTACTGGGTTGTTGTGAGGACTAAGTGCTTGGCACATACGCAAGAACCGTTATTAGTGTCACCCAAAGTGTTTATTGAGCACCGATCTATACTATGTCCTGCAATTTCCCAGGTTACTTAGTCCTCATGGCAACTCTGAGAGGTAGATGTCATTATTCTTGTTTTGCATATGAAGAAATTCAGGCTCAGAAAGGTCAGGTAACTTGTCTAAAGCCTTCCAAATTTGCTTCTCTTCCCATATTATCTGTTTACTGGTTTATTTATATATATTTTTAGAGTGGGAGAGAGAAAAACATCAATTTGTTGTTCCACTTATTTATGCACTCATTGGATGATTCTTGTATGTGCCTTGATTGGGGATCAAACCTACAACCTTGGTGTATTGGGACGATGCTCTAACCAACTGAGCTACCCACCAGGATCTTTTCATATTACCCGATTCACAGACCTCATTATCCTAAGACAGAATTAGGATTCTAGAATGACTTGCTTCTTCCTTCCTGCCCACCTCATGCACAACCCATCATCAAATCCAGTAGATTCTCTCTCCTTCATACTCTCCCTCTATCCCCATAGCTACTGCTATGGCTAAGGCCTCTGATCTCCTGCCTGCATGCTCATTTTGACTCCTCCATCTTGCCCCATATCTAATCAGTCTCTACGTCCAATTGATTGGCTTTTCTTGGTCAATTCTATCTCTCCTCTTGGGGCCATGTTTCGTGGCCAGTGCCTTACTCTGGCCTGATCACCTTCCAACTGGATAAGAGCAGTAACTGGGTCTTCTTGCTTACTTTTCTCCCCAGGGCTGCCTGAATGGGCTTTCTTAAATGCACATCTGTTCTGAACTCTTCCCACTTTCCAGTCTCTCAGTGGTAGCCTGGACAGTCAAGTTCACATTCCCATAAATTCCATGGGCATGCCAGGCCTGGGAGCGTCTGGCCCAGGAGGACATCCTATGCCTCTGCCTTATGGATCTTCTAGCAGCTTTCTTCTCTTCATTCCTCTGGACATGCACATGGGCTGTCCTTTCCATCTTACTTCACGTAACAGTCCCAAACTAGATGCTTAAGTTCCTGGAGGACAGGGCCGTATCTTCTTCCCTGCAGGTCCCCAGTGCCTAGCACAGTGTGCTTGGCTCTCTGGAAGCATGCAACAGATGTTTTAAAAATGAATTCATGAGTAAACTTATCCTAAAGTTAATGATTGGGTGTCACACAGCATAAAAGAAATGAAGTAAGATTCAAACTCAAGTCTGTTCATTTATTCAACAATTAAGCTTTTACTATATGCCAGATATTGTGCTAGATGCTGGCTACATGACACAGAACAAAACATAGAACCTGTGCCCTCCTGGAACTTATGTGCTTGTCTGGTATCAAAGTTCATGTCTTTTGAAAGTACACCAAATTCTGTTGCAAAGAGCCTCGTTATAATCTAAAGTGTCATGAAACAAAGCTGCCGGTATAATATGATGCATATTTCAGGGGTGGGAAGAGAGATTCAAACTCCTAGCTGGTTTGGCTCAGTGGATAGAGCGTCGGCCTGCGGACTGAAAGGTCCCAGTTTGATTCCAGTCAAGGGCACATGCCTAATTGCAGACTCGAAGGCTCAACCCCCAGTAGGGGGCATGCAGGAGGCAGCCGATCAATGATTCTCTCTCATCATTCTCATCATTGATGTTTCTCTCCCTTCCTCTCCCTTCCTATCTGAAATCAATTAAATCCCTTAAGTGTGGTAGGGATTCAAGAAAAGGGGAATTAGCCGAAACCGATTTGGCTCAGTGGATAGAGCATCGGCCTGCGGACTGAAAGGTCCCAGGTTCGATTCCGGTCAAGGGCATGTACCTTGGTTGCAGGCACATCCCCAGTAGGGGGTGTGCAAGAGGCAGCTGATCGATGATTCTCTGTCATCGATGTTTCTAACTCTCTATCCCTCTCTCTTCCTCTCTAAAAAAAAATCAATAAAATATATTATAAAAAAAAGAAAAGGGGAATTAGGTAGGAGCTGAGATTCAAGATGGTCCTTAAAATGTTTAATAAATAAGAGCAGGAAAACAGGAACAATACACGCAGAAAGTGGTATGCCACATTTATGGGCACAGGAACTCTGCATTGTAGTATTGGATGGGAGGATCAGGTCCTCTATGTGTGTGGGTATCTCTAGGGTACAAGGAGTTTTAAGAAAATCAATTTGCTGTACGGCTGACGTGGCTCAGTGGTTGAGCATCAACTTATGAACCAGGAAGTCATGTTTCAATTCCTGGTCAGGGCACATGCCTGGGCCCCGGCCTCAATCCCCAGTGGGAGGCAAGCAGGAGGGAGCCAATCAGTGATTGTCCCTCACATTAATGTTTCTATCTCTCTCTCCCACTCCCTTCCTCTCTGAAATAAAATAAAAACATTTTTTTTTAAAGAAATCAACTTGCAGAGGGTAAACTTCCAAGTTCTGTTTACCCAAAGTCTTTCCCCTCTCACAATTCCGCCTTCCCTACTTTCAGTAGCAAGGCTCACCATTCCCCACCCGCTGTCTTTCAGTGGTGGACTACCCCAAAGGGTGGAATTCCTGGAGCACCAAACAAAGCTCCTATTTGAAATGCTAGTGCAGGGCTGTAGGTGCTGAGAAAGTGGGTGGCTTAAAAACTGGACAAGAAATTCTTTTGGTTTTTAAGGCAGGATCTTTGCTTTCGAAACCCTGAAGAATCATTAACAATATTTTTTATCATAGATCTTTATGGGGTTTTATTTTTTTTGTGGGGGTTAGGGGGAGACAACTCAGAAGTAGATGCCATTGCTAAATCAAACTCCCACTTCTCATCTACTTATCAAGTGAACAAAGTTTCTCAGCTTTAAAATGAAAAAAAAAAAAAAAAAAAAAGGAACTAGAATTGATGCTGATTTCGGTTACATTCAAACAAATAATTTTCAACTATGAACATCTGAACTACCTGAGCAAGGGGGTGAGGGAAGTAGTCCATGATAAATACATTTCCAGTGTATTTTTATGTTTATGTTTAATATGTATAAAAATCATAATATTTATGTTGTTTTGCTCAACTGAGTACTACTAATATTTCTGATGGCCACTCAAACCAGAAAAAAATTTTCCCACCCAGAGCTTTATAGTTACATAAAACTTAAGTTCTTTTAAAACTTTAATTTATATACATACTTTGGTTGCAGAGATGTATGATATTGTGATCAATAAAAGACTTTCAAGCATAAAATGTTACATTGACATTAGACTGAGAGGGCCACCTGGGAAGGCTCGTGGGCATTTTCCTTTAAACTGTCACCTGAGTCGGAGACAACCGGCAGGGCATGTTCCAAGATGGCAGAAAGTGTAATCAGCTTGGCCTTCATATCAAGCCCAGGTGTTGGGAGGGGTGGGACTAGATACGTATATAAATCCAGGAATGCGAGGGCCTCCTTAAGAATGCAAATAAGTTGGTGTTACTTCCTGGTGTTGGGGTATAAAATAAATGCACTGGGTGGGGTCGTCACCGTCTTCCTGCCTCTCCAGCAGACAAGATGGCGGCCCACCCAGCTCCCAGTTTTAAATCTATTTCTGTGTCTTCTCTTTATTTATAATATTTCTCAATCCCTGTCCGCCTCCACTTAGAACCGGTTCGTTCATCTATCTTTCCTTGCAGGACGCGGAAAAGGGAGATCCCCGCCTGGACCCCACCGCATCAGGCCCCTGCAGATTGTTGAGGGGAAAGGGGAATCGAAATACAAGTACAAGGAGAAAAAGAAACTATGTAAAATGTTTTTATTGCTAAAGAAAAGCTTGTTCACGCTATTTTTTTCTTTTTCATTTTTTATTAAGGTATTATAGGTGTACATATCTTACCATTACCCACCCCCCCAGCTATTTTTAAAAAATATATTTTTATTGATTTCAGAGAGGAAGGGAAAGGGAGAGAGAGAAATATCAGTGATGAGTGAGAATCATTGATCATCTGCCTCCTGCATGCCTCCTACTGGGGATGTGCCCTTGATCAGAATCAGACCCAGGACCCTTCAGTCCACAGGCTGACACTCTATCCATTGAGCCAAACCAGGGAGGGCTGTTCATGTTATTTTTAAGATGGATAATGGTGAGCATCAAATGACTTTGGGATTCGAGTTTTATTCAATATATTTAAAGGGGTAACATAGCAGTTTTATATTAAAATGTCAATATTTATTAAAGAATAGAAATTACATTCTTCCTCTGAAACTATTGTTTTACATTAATGATGAAAAAGGTTAGATGTCTCCAAGACCGGTTTGGCTCAGTGGATAGAGCATCAGCCTGTGGACTGAAGGGTCCCAGGTTTGATTCCGGTCAAGGGCATGTACCTTGGTTGCTGGCGCATCCCCAGTGGGGGGTGTGCAGGAGGCAGCTGATCGGTGTTTCTCTCTCTTCGCTGTTTCTAGTTCTCTATCCCTCTCTCTTCCTCTCTGTAAAAAATAAATAAAATATATTTTAAAAAGAAAGAAAGAAAGAGTGAAACCTGTTTGGCTCAATGGATAGAGCGTCGGCTTGGGGACTGAAGGGTCTCGGGTTCGATTCCAGGCAAGGGCATGTACCTTGGTTGTGGGTATATCCCCAGTAGGGGGTGTGCAAGAGACAGCTGATCGATGACTCTCTCTCATCGATGTTTCTATCTCTCTATCTCTCTCCCTTCCTCTCTGTACAAAATCAATAAAAAACAAAACAAAACCCTCTGTCTATTCAGTTAAAAAAGAAAGAAAGAAAGAAAGAAAGAAAGAAAGAAAGAAAGAAAGAAAGAAAGAAAGAAAGAGAAAAAAAAAAGAAAGGAAGAAAAAGGTTAGGAGCTACACAGTTTCAATAAATTCTTTCAGGAGGCTACTACTGTGAGACTTGTGACTAGAACGGTAGAACGAGGTCTCTTCAAAGCTCGGCAGAGTTTAGACTTGAGCTGCTGAGCCGATCTCTAAGCCTCAGTGTCCTCACCTCTGAGTGGGGTCCAGTCCAGGCTTTTGAATGTCTATGATGGGACATAAAAGAAGGCATGGAGGGCGGGTGTGTGAGATAGTGAAAGGAACATCACCGGCCAAAGCCGGTGTGGCTCAGTGGTAGAGCATCGGCCTGCAGACTGAAAGGTCCCAGGTTCGATTCCGGTCAGGGGCATGTACCTTGGTTGCGGGCACATCCCCAGTGGGGTGTGTGCAAGAGGCAGCTGGTCGGTGTTTGTCTCTCATCGACATTTCTATCTCTCTATCTCTCTCCCTTCCTCTCTGTAAAAAATCAATAAACATATATTTAAAAAAAAAAAAAAAAAAAAACGAAAAGAAACATCACCAGATGCCTGAATGCAACCCACTTTGGGACTGGCAGAGGAAGCTCTCAGTCTGGGGCGGGGGTGGGGGGGCATCCCTAAGGGGCAGAAGAAGGTATTTCCCAATCTTTTAATTGCAAGGTGAGAAAATAATTCCTCTGTCCTTTCCAACATTCCAGATAAAGCCGAGTGTATCCAATCTCTGATGCTCTCAGAAATACCCATAAGCTCGGGGCCACGAGGGAATTACAGACCTTGTGATCCCAGGTCATCCCATTGTGATCTGTATATAAGGAGATGTGACTGGCTGGAGAGCAAGAAGCTTGTTGCAAACTGTTGCCAGGATATGCAAGGAAAGCCTTGAAGAGGATGGATATACATAAACTGGCACACCCTGAGGTCGGCAGTCTGGATGGCAAAAGGCACTATGATCATTTTACAATATATGAGGAACAAGGGATGTTGTAGCTTAAGAAGAAAAAATATAGAGGAGTGGGATCAAACATCCAAAGGACTCTTTTATGGAAAACAGTCTGACTTAGTGCACCTTCAAGGACTAGACCTAAGACTCCTGGGTAGGATAACCAGAGAATACAAATTTTTCCTCAATATAAAGAAGATTTTTTTGTGTGTGGCTAAAAAAGCAAATCCTTTATGAAAAATATACTCAGAATAAAAATATAGAAAGGTAAAAACTCACAGAACCCCCTCCCAAAGACAACTGCTGATAACATTCTAGTGTGTGCTTCCTCCCAGTTTTTTATATAATTTTTTTTAATTTTCCAAATGATATACTTATCTATATATGTTATACACATAATCAGATCCTGTTTTATGTCCACTAAAAATCAGATCATAACATTTCCCACTTTTTAACCAAATCTTTGTAGGCATCATTTTTTTAAAGAAATGTTTTTTTCATAACTGTACTTGAAAATATGTTTTTATTGATTTTATTGAAAGAGAGAAGGAGACAGAGAACCATGGATGTGAAAGAGAAACATTAATTGTCTCCCACATAACTGGGACCAAACTCTAAATCTGGGTATGTATCCTTTAAAATATAAAAATGAAATGAGGTGAAAATGTGGCATCTCCACAGTGCTCCCAGAATTTCTTTTAGGGAGAGGACTCTCTTTATTAGAGGAAATAAGCCTGTCAGGGGTAGAAAGTGAGGTCTTTAGGGCATGAATGTTGAAAGGAAACCTTGCAATAAAGAAATATAGCTGCTGAAGCCAGTTTGGCTCAGTGGATAGAGCGTCGGTCTGCGGACTGAGGGGTCCCAGGTTCGATTCTGGTCAAGGGCATGTACCTTGGTTGCGGACACATCCCCAGTAGGGGGTGTGCAGGAAGCACCTGGCTGATGATTCTCTTTCATCAATGTTTCTAGCTATCTATCCCTCTCCCTTCCTCTCTGTGAAAAATCAATAAAATATATTTTAAAAAAGAAAAAAGAAAAGAAATATAGCTAAGCCTTGGCTGATGTGGCTCAGTTGGCTGAGCATTGGCCTATGCACCAAAAGGCTGCCAGTTCAATTCCCAATCGATGTTTCTCTCTCTCAAATCAATAAAAACAGCCTAGCTGGTGGTGTTGCTCAGTGGTTGAACTTCAAGCTATGAACCTGGAGGTCACAGCTCAACTTCTGGTGGAGGCACACGCCTGGATTGTGGGCTCGATCCCTGGTGTGGGGCATGTGGGAGGCAGCTGATCAATGGTTCCCTCTCATCATTGGCGTTTCTATCTCTCTCCCTCACCCTTCCTCTCTGACATAAAAAATATATTAAAAAACAAAAACATATTTAAAAAATAAATAACATTAAAAAAGAGAAAGATGTAGCTAAGATGCCTCTTTCTGCCTAGAAAGCCAGAGGAATTTGTTTTTTTTTCCTCTGGAGAGGGTTGGATAAAGAATAGAGAGGAGAGGTAGTGATTTGGGAAAAGGCCAGGCCCTAAGGAGTAAAGGGCCAGTTAGAACACCTCAGTTGGAAAACTGATCATGTTGACAAGTGTTATCTATGCCTACTTAAAAGGAAGAAGGACCCTAGGTGGTTTGGCTCAATGGATAGAGCGTTGGCCTGTAGACTGAAGAGTCCCAGGTTTCATTCCAGTCAAGGGTATGTGCCCGGGTTGCTGGATCAGGTTGCAGGCTTGATCGGATTGTCCTGGTGTGGGGCGTGCAGGACACAGCTGATCAATGATGTCTCTCTCATCATTAATGTTTCTAGCTCTCTCTCCCTCTCCCTTCCTCTCTGAAATCAATTATTTATTTATATATATAGTAGAGGCCCGATACACGAAATTCATGCAAGAGTAGGCCTTCCTTCCCCTGGCTGCCTGCACCAGCTTCCCTCTGGCACCCGGGACCTGGGCTTCCCTTGCAGCCCTGGCTTCGTCCGGAAGGATGGAAGGATGTCCAGAAGAACGTCCAGTATAATTACCATACTATGCTTTTATTATATACAAAGAAGGTGTATGTATTATAGAAAGGCAACAAATGTATCAATTCTTTTCTTTTTTTCTTTTTCTTGTTTTTTTTTGTTTTGTTTTTTTAGAGAGAGGAACATCAATTAGTTTGAGGGATAGAACCAGTTACCTGGGTATGTATCCTGATTGGAAATCAAACTCGTCACCTTCTGGTGTACAGGATGATGCTCCAAACTGAGCCACACTGGGCTGGGCCAAATTTACGAATTCTTTATTTTTATTTTTATTTTTTTAATAATTATCCATTCATTATTCTTTTAAAAATTATTGTTTAAAGTATTACATATAATATTACATAAGTCTCCTTTTCCCCCCATTGATCTCTCCCTGGCCACCCCCACCTCCCGAGCACATGCCCTCACCCCCTTAGTGTCTGTGTCCGTTGGTTATGCTTATATGCATGCATACAAGTCTTTTGGTGGATCTCTTTACACCCCCCAGTCCCATGGATCATTATTACAAAATCCATTCTTACTTCAGTCTGAAAGGGCAAGGAGGTTGACGTCTAATTACAAAAGTAATGCATATTCATTTTTAAGGAATAGAAAATAAAAAGAGAAGCAGAAAGAAAAAAATCACTCAACAGTTCTACCATCCAGATATCTGAGGGTGTGGCCTGAGAAGTGTATGGGAGAGGGGAGGGATGATCTTTAAAGAAGGTGAAGAGGAGGAAGTTACCTGATCATACACTCATGAGTCTAGATGACAAGCTCAGCTTCTTCCACCAGACTGCCTCCCAGCGGCTAGGTACCTTTGTGTGGTATGTCTGAAAGCACGGGCTGGGACAGCAGGTCCCTTCCAGACCCTACAGACCTGGCTTAGAAGCGAGAACGAGATTTTCTTCAACAGTAGGGAGGATGCTCTCCGCTTAAGTGGGCAAGCGTATTCGGTAAGTACATGGGAAGAGAGGTAGGTAAGAAGCCCAGAACCATCAATTCCTATGGCAGAAGCCTCTCGAGGGAGGAAAGTCCTTCTATTAAAGTTACAAGCCGCACCATCTCCTCCCGTGGAGTCCGGAGTCTGAAGATTCGGGCTCCGTTGCTTCCCGCAGCAAGTCACGCACCTCCTCTTCACTGGAGGATGAGGAGGCTGTACCAGATGACCCCCAGTTCCCTTCCAGCTTTAAATTCCCTTCAGTGGTGTGTACCTGCTAGACCTGTTTTACTGGCCTGGACCTCCCCCGCTCCTCCCTAAGCGGCCGGGGCCGCGTCCCACACCAGAGGGCGCTGCAGCAGCCAGAGCGGCGTGCGGTGGGCGGAGCGGCAGGATCAGCGGGGCCTCCAGGAGGCGCGGTGATTGGCCGGCTCGGGCGGAAAGGGGCGGGGCAAGGAGGGGTGAAGCCGAGCTGCGCGGTGACGTCACGCCCGCGGGGGCGGGGCGGGGCGGCGCTGCGTGTGACGCCCGCGCGGCGGAGCTGGGATTAATGGGAAAAGTTTTGGCAGGAGCCGGAGGAGCCTGCGGGACGGCGGCGGCGGCGGCGGCGCGAGAGGCCGCGACAGGTCAGTCCGGGTCGGGGAGGCGGGTCGGCACGCAGCGGAGGTGAGCGGCAGGTCCGCGCCGAGGCGGCCCACGCGGCCGGGACGCCAGGCCCAGAGGGGAGTGGGGAGGGGACAGCCGCCGGGGTCCGGGGACCGAGCTGCCGTCGCTTCCCGACGCTCGGACTCGGGCCGGTCTGCGGTGGTCCCTGGCTGCCGGGCGGCCCCGTGCCCAGCTCCTCGGACCCTCACCGCTGTCTGCGCCCAGCTGCAGGCCTCCCCACCCGCCGGTGACCCCACTTGGGCCTCGTGGCCCCGTCTCCTCCCGCCTCAGTTGGGAGAGCCCGGGCTCTGGCTCGAGTTGTTTCCCACTCCCCACCCTGGCCTCTGCCCTTCCTTCGCCCTTCTCTGGGGTCCCCAGATGCATTGCCCTCTGCCCGGGGTCTCCTCGGGGATCTTCCCTGCCTCCTGGCTATCCTTGTCTCCCGCCTTCGTCCTTCCATCCTTGCCCCCAGTCTTTGCTCTTTCCCATCCCTGTCCCCTCCGTCCCCCGCTGCCTGCCTCTCAGGACTGGGGCTCCTCCTCACCCCCCTCGCGGTGTTACGGCTCGGTGTTCCTTACCCGTTTGCCTAAGCCCCTCCTGCCCCGGCTCCCCTCACAGGCCCTGAGTTTGCCAGTCTCTCTGATTTCCTTATTAGCCTTGTCACCCACCTGCCCTTCCCTCCCAGGGCCTTGCCTCTGCCTCCGGGAGAAGCAGTAGCTCACACACCTCCGTGCTTTCCCCTTGACCTGCAGAGACATTTATGGGGTGAGGGCGTTCAGTCCCAGATTGAAGTAAGGAGCTGAATGTCTGAGGCAAATAGCAGGTTATGTCTTTGTGGGAGAATTTACTGGGATGTTGCATCGGGGACGATGTGCAATTTGTAGATGATCCTTCTAATCTCAGCTTTAATACTTCTTCTTTATGGGCCTGTTGACTTCCAGGAACCCTTGGGAAGAGACTGGCCGCTGAGTTGGGCGGGCGCCAGGGGTAGCTGCAGGCCTTATCCAATCCTTTCCCCTTCCAGGAAACAGGGCTGTGTGTCTTTCCATCTGGATGTGCCGAACACATTTAAATCGCGATGCCCCGGCCCATGGCAGCCCGGACTCCTGCCCTCTGACCTGTGCCCCATCCCAGAGAGTTAAGGGAAGTCTCCAGAAGATACGCTCTAAGAATGACTGTGGTTCTCAACCTTTTCCCTCTGTACTGACTCCAGACAGTGTTTTTCCCGTTTGAGTTTTAAACAAACTGCCACCTGATAGCTCTGGGGCCAGCAGACATCTGTCCCTTTCGCTGTCGATGGCTTGAACCAGCTGCTGATTTTCCCTCAGGCATCTCTGATCCACTGACTATGCCAGGGGCTCTGATTTTTGTCCTTCACCGAGCAGCTTCTTTTGAAGTCTCTCCCTCCATTTTCCTTGGGAGCTTAATTTCCTGTGGACCCAAGAGGGAAGGTGACACAGAGTTCAGTTCCCTTTGCCCAGGCGTTACATCAGATGTCCGCCCAGGACACTGTCTGCCCAGGCAGTCTGGGACGACACTAGTTAGACTGTGTCAAGAACTTAAGTTGCGCCAAGACTGGTTTGGCTCAATGGATAGAGCGTTGGCTTGGGGACTGAAGGGTCCCGGGTTCGATTCCAGTCAAGGGCATGTACCTTGGTTGCGGGCATATCCCCAGTAGGGGGTGTGCAAGAGGCAGCTGATCGATGACTCTCTCTCATCGATGTTTCTAACTCTCTATCTTTCTCCCTTCCTCTCTGTACAAAATCAATAAAATATATTTTAAAAAAAAAAAGAAGAAAAAAAAAAAAGAACTTAAGTTGCTTCTAGTCTCGGAGACAATTCTGTCTGGGGCCAGAGAGCCCACCGCCTTTGTGGTGTGTCTGGGTATTTAACCTCGCGAGGCAGAAAGTTCTTTTCAGATGTCTCCCTTTTGAACTCCTTTATTTGGAGTTGGTACCCTAGAGAGATCGACAGGAAATAACATACCCGCTGTTTCTGCCCAATCTGGTCTTGGGCGATTCAGAAAGCGTGGCCCACTCTCACGTTTAGAAACGAGGGCCTGTTGTTTCACGTGGCTCTGGGTTTCTAGGTCTTCTCTTTTGAGGATCGTGCTCTCTGTCTTGGAGCCAGAATTGGACACAGAATTGGCAACTTTCAGGGGCTTTGGTGGAGAGCCAACTGAACTAGCTAGGCCAAGTTTTGGAATCCTCTTGTGCACTGAACTTTTCTGTGAAAGAAAAAGGATCGAGGATGGCTGAGCCAGTCCCCGTTCCACCCCTTTCCACTGACTCCTGAGACCCCTGTTAAGCAGCAGTTGGAGGAATTTGGGCAGAATGGACCAAAAGGAGTCCCTTGTTCTTATGAAAAGCAGGATTTTAATGGTCATTCTAATGAAGTTGAGGTTGTGGGTTTGGCAGTAATTTAGTCTAATCTCTGGCTCTCGAGGATTTTACCTGACTGAGCAGTTTGCTGCTACTGTCTCTGCTCCCCTGCGCTCCCCACTGAGGTGGTGAGTGATAGGGCTTGAAGAGGTCAAGCCCAGTCCTTGTGGGGCAGCTTGGGCACCAGCAGCCTGGCCGGTCGCTTCTTGCAGGTCGTTCTTGCTGTCATTTTCTACGTGGGCAGTTATGATGGTCAGCCACCAAGTTCCCATTTAGTGATTTTTACAGAGCCACGGTCAGCCTGCCTCTTTCAAAGGAGTGAGCAGACAGGCCTCTGACATTATCTACAGATGGCATAGCCCATCACTTCTAGTTGAATGGACTAAGTATACTAACCCACTTTTGTTTGGCTGCCTTTCTCCCTGCCTCTCCACCACTCCTTTTTCCTTCTTTGGGGTGTGCCTCAGCCCACCGAGGATGAATTGCCCTTACTCAGCCTGCCAGCTCCACCTGTGGTCGCTCAGACCCCTTCCCCCGACCTGGTGAGAGAACACCAGCGTTGGGTGCTGGCCTGGGAAGCTGCTAGGCCCCTGCTTTGGGCAGACAGCAGTTGTCCTGGCTGCCAGGCAAGCTGTCTTCAGGGCCTGTGGATACTGGCGTGTCCAGCTCCTCTCTCAGGAGGCGTTGGGCCTGGCTCTTCTAAAGGCTTCAGCTCTGTCCTGCCCCTGAGACACTCCTCCCCGGTGTTTCCTGACATCCGGGAGGCTAAATTGTGGGCCCTCCTGGAAATCCAGGAGCTGCCCTACAGCCCAGCAGCTCCACTTCTCTTCCTTCCCACGTAGCACCTCCATGGACTTCGTCTGTCCTGCCAGGCTCTCGTTGGTGTCATGTCAGAAGTTGTGTGCGTGATGCCCTTGTCTGTGCCGTTTGTCCCAGAGTGCCCAGTGGCGGCTGCTTGTAGATGGTGTGATGTGCTGAGCACTCTCTGTGCCTTTGGGTCTAGGGGAGGAGCTACTTGAAGCAGCTGAGTTCCACTGTGTCAGAGGGGAGCTAGGCGCTTGCTTGAGTCTGGCAGGGAGGAAATGTCCCGTCGCATCAGATTTCAGACATGTGGGACTTCTCGCTTGGTAGATGGTTCCTGGCCTTCATAGCTCAGAGGCTGATGATTGGGGTGTGACCCCAGGCCCCTCTCCATGGGGCTTTGGTCAAGGAATCATGCACGACTCAGGGCATTTCCACTTATGAGTTATTAACGATTGGAAGTGCTGGGCTTTAGCACCTCCTTCATCTTGCCAGCTCCTCTGCCCCACCCTGGTACAATCAGCAGAGCCAGTGTCTTCTTACTTGGAAATGAGCAGACTACTTCCAGGATTGGGAAATGTTTGCTACTTAGGCCCAGAATAACAACATCTCAGGGTGGGTGTATGAGGAAAGTGGAGGAGCCAGCTTGCCTTAGGAGCACTCTTTGAGCCCTAGTGTTTATTATTTTTTAAATATGTTTTTATTGATTTTAGAGAGAGGGGAAGGAAGAGAGAGAAATAGAAACATTGATGAGAAAGAAATATCAGTTGGCTGCCTCCTGCATATCCCTCCTGGGGATCAAGCCCACACCAGGGTATGTGTCCTAGTGTTTATTATAACACCAGAGGCCCGATGCACGAAAATCGTGCAGGAGTAGGCCTTCTTTCCCCCGGCTGCCAGCACCAGCTTCCCTCTGGCACCTGCGACCTGGGCTTCCCTATGGCTGCCAGCAGGCACCTGCGACCTGGGCTTCCCTTGCTCCGTCCAGAAGGACATCTGGTTTAATTAGCATTAATTAGCTTTTATTATTATAGGTATTTTCTGACCCAGGCACCTCTCAGCTAAAGATGTTGGGTTTCCTTTCTCTCCTGCAGTGTTGTGTGGTGTTTTGGGCATGTACGTGGTACTCACGCAGTGGCTTCTGCTCACCGACAGATGAGGACAGATGCGCCAAAGAGGTAATCACATTCTCCTTACCCAGGGGTCTAACAGCTGACACACACATTCAGAGTTAGGGTCCTAGCTTAGAAGATGAAATAATATCTCTAGGACTGAGTCCCAGGTCCCAGGTGCCTGTCATAGCGCCTGGTACTCATCACTTGCACATAGCAGATGGTTACTAAACAGTTATTGAATGTCTTCAACTTAACATAATTTTTTGGGGAGCATTGAGATTTTCACCCTTACAACCACTAAACATAAACTCCACAAGGACAAGGACTTTTTTGCTTCCTATTGTGTCTAGAAGATGCTAAATAAATATTTGTTGAATGAATAAATGCACACACGTTCTCTCTGCCCATATAGATGCCAGCCCTTTCTTTTGTGCATTAAACATTTTTGAGTGTCTCCTATGTGCCAGACATAGTACCTGCATTTAGGAAAGGATGATAGTAAAAAACCAGAATCAATCTGTCTCATGGGTTGGTACTTGCTGGCATATATGAGAGCTGGGCATAATACACAGAATTGTTTCTTTCATCTCTGCTGGGGTAGTGGGTCCTTACCAGAGACTGAACAATGCTCTGGGCTTCCCATTGCTGTTTCCCTGTTCTCTGGAAGCCTGGCAGGTTCTATAAATTCTCAGGGAAGCTCCAGGGAATTCGATGTTCATTGTCCCAACTATTTGGGAGGCTGGGCTGTGATGGGGTCCCTGCTGAGGGCCAGGTGGCATGGAGCTCCTGTCTGATTTGTTTTAATCTCCAAGTTTTAATGGTTCCAGTAGTGTTTATGGGCTTCACTTCCCTTTCTCTGCCTTTAACACCCAGCAGGCTTTCCTGTTGCCAAACAGGGTGCTGAGCCCATGTGTCTGTCTTTTTGTGGGGGTCAGGTTGTTTGTGGATCTTGCAGGAAAGCCCTCAGGCAGGGGCCATCCCTGTTCTCAAACCCACACCAAATCCTTTCCTCTGAAGGAAATGTGAAGGAGGAAGGAGGGGGTTGGGGAGGCTTCTGAGATTCCCCGAGAGGGGTTGAAGTAGGAGTAGCCTGAGCAGGAAGAGCTACTGAGTTGAGTTGATCTGCTTTAGCATTTGTTTCAGCAGCAGCTAGCCATAGTAGCAGTAGTGCACATGTCTAGGGGTCAATTGTCCAGTTCATTCCTGAGCCATGTGCTCCAGTCTCAGCTAAAATTTTTCTTTTTCAGTTTCCCCTGGCAAAGGTAAGCCTATAGCTTTATCAGATTTCTTTTCAGTGTTAATCTACAAAACTGGTGTTGTCATCTTAGTCTTTCCTATCTGAGTCACTTTTGTGACAGATGATTCAGGTGCTGTGACAGATGCTTCACACCTGGTCTCACGCCCCAAGTGTGTGGAACCTTATTGGGGAGAGAAGATGTATGTACATAAAGAGTTTCAAGATGTTAGGGAGCTGGTGGGTACTGAGAACATGCCACTCAAGGGTGCTCACTGAGAGGAGCAAGTCACCACTGAGGACTGGCTTTGTCCCTGAAGCAGCTGAGTTCAGATTGGGCTTTGGAAGAAAGCTGGTCTATTAAAGTCAGGTGTATGTATTATAGAAAGGCAACAAATGTATCAATTCTTTTCTTTTTTCTTTTTCTTGTTTTCTTGTTTTGTTTTGTTTTTTTAGAGAGAGGAATTACTAATTTACTAAGTCATTTACTATACTACTACTAATAATAAAACCCATTACATTTATCACAGATGAAAATTTTAATGAAAAATAGCTGTTTTTTAAAACAAGAAAGTTGTGAGGAGTAACACAGTTTTACATTTTTTGCTAATCTCTTTAATGCCTAGTCTAACTGATGGCAGGTGTGTTCTTATAACTGGTTCTATGTCTAGTCTTTTAAAATATGTCTTATTTGCCGAAACCAGTTTGGCTCAGTGGTAGAGCGTCGATCTGCGGACTGAAAGGTCACAGGTTCGATTCCGGTCAGGGGCATGTACATTGGTTGCGGGCACATCCCCGGTGAGGGGTGTGCAAGAGGCAGCAGGTCGATGTTTCTCTCTCATCAACGTTTCTAGCTCTCTATCTTTCTCCCTTCCTCTCTGTAAAAAAAATCAATAAAATATATTTAAAAAAATAATAATAATAAAATGTCTTATTTGAAGGATATGAAAACAAATCTGGTTTCACATAGATACATAGTTGAGAAGGTTATCGTATCTAATAAAAGAGTACTATGCAAATTGACCATACCTCCGTTACACCCACAAGCCGCACCCACCAACCAAACAGGAGCAAGTATGCAAATTAATGCAATCAAGATGGCTGTGGCCACGGAGCAAGCAGGAGACTTGAGTTTCCCTGGCAATGGCAGAAGCCAAGCTTCTTGCACACACTGGCCGGTCCAGGCCTCTACTCAAGGCTACAAAGTTTCAGTTATAGAAGATAAATAATTCCCAACAAAAATGGCTGTGGCCACAGAGTGAGCAGGAGGCTTGTGTTTCACCGGGGATGGAGGAAGCTAAACTTCCTGGCCAGCCCTGGCCTCCACTCAAGGCTACAAAGTTTCAATTATAGAAGATAAATAAATCCCAGATCCCAGGGCCTCTGCTTGGGTCACCAAGGGGCATGGCCAGCCTGCAAACCACCACAGGCCCCTCACCCAGGCCACCCCATGCCCCAAGGGAACCCCCACCCTGATCCAGGACACCCTTCAGGGCAAACCAGCTGGCCCCCACCAGGCCTCTATCCTATCTAATAAAAGAGTAATATACAAATTGAACATCACTCCAACACACAATATGGCTGCCCCCATGTGGACACAAGATGGCCAGCAGGGGAAGGCAGTTGGGATGGACCAGGCGTGCAGGTGAAGGCAGTTGGGGGGAACAGGTCTGCAGTGGAGGACAGTTGCAGGGAGACCAGGCCTGCAAGGGAGGGCAGTTGGGAAGACCAGGCCAACAAGGGAGGGCAGTTGGGGGAGACCAGGCCTGCAGGGGAGGGCAGTTAGGGGTGACCAGGCCTGCAGGGGAGGACAGTTGCGGGGACTAGACTCACAGGGGAGGGCAGTTAGGGATAACCAGGCTGGCATAGGTGTTAGCATCACCCTGGCTTCTACCCACTAGATGCCAGTACCCCACCCCTCACCCTCATCCCCAGTGGTATTACCCCTGGCTTCTACCCACTAGATGCCAGTACCCCCTCCACCCTCACTCCCAGTGGTGTTACCCCTGGCTTCTACCCACTAGATGCCAGTACCCCCTCCACCCTCACCCCCAGTGGTGAAACCCAAGACTGTCTCCAGACATTGCCATAGGTCCCCTAGGAGGCAAAAACACCTCTGGCTGAGAACCACTGCTCTGTCATTTCCCCACTAAATATTTCTGGCCAGCTGGGTCCACTGGTGAACATATCAATAAAACCAATAAGATAAGCATATAGTTCTTACATTGGAAATTTACTCTAGTCAGAGCCACCTCACTGGAGGTTTTGAGTTGGAATGAAATTGTTCACAATGAGCAGCATGTTCCAACTTAGTAAGAGACCATATGATGTCTACACCACAGAGGGAGTGTCCTGGAGTGGTTGTGTTTCTCCAGGGCTTTTCATGTTCGGGCAGAAGTCCCCTTCCTGTAGCTCCCAGTGTGCCATGTAGAGCAGAGTTGGTAACGTGGCATATGAACGGTCGTTACCCTGCCAGCTCCTGGTGTCGGACCTCACCAGCTGATGTGGCGCTCTATCACAGCAGTCTTCCTCCACCTGGGCGGTTATCCTCAGAGCTTACCTGCCGTCCTGATCTCAAGCTTGTTTGTCTGACCCATGATTTTGTGTTTTGGGGTGGTGGTTTTTTTGGGTTTTCCCTCCTCTAAAAGCCTTCCTGATGGGTTCCCCTTGACCCTCAGCACGTGCATTCTGAGATGAACTCCTGAGTGGACCTTTGGGGGCTCAGTTTTGTGAAATGAATTCTGTACCCCTTAGTATTACACCCCTGTTGTCACTAACAAATTACCACAGACTTGTGGCTTAATACATTTATTCTCCTACAGTTCTGGAGGTCAGAAGTCCAAAATTCATTTCATTGGGCCAAAGTCAAGGTAATTGGCAGCACAGCAGCACTTACAGCCAAAGAAAGACCCTGGCCTGGGCTGCTCCACGATCTCCCTCTGACTTTGGCCATGTGGACCCGAGGTCTGAACTGTGTTTCTTCCAAACTTTGGAGTCTGTCTTTCATGGGTAGACTGGGTAATGGCCCCCAAAGATATCCAGGCTGCAACCCCAGGGACTGGAAATGCTACCTTCTATGGCAAATGGACTTTGCAGATGCTATTAAATTAAGGATCCTGAGATGGAGAGATTATCCTGGATTTTTTGAATGGGCCCTAAGTGCAGTCACAGTGTCTTTTAAAGAGGGAGGCAAAGGAAGTGTTGATACAGAAGAAGGCAGTGTGCCTACCACAGCGAGATGCTACACGGAGATGCCACACCCTGGCCCTGAAGATGGAAGAGGCTGAGGAATGTGAGGAATGCAGCTCTCGAAGCTGGAAAAGGCCAAGAGCAAAAACTCCTCTAGAACCCCTGGTGGGAGTGACTTTGGCCCAGTGGGACTGATTTTGGACTTCTGACCTCCAGAACTGTAGGAGAATAAATTTGTTGTGTTGTAAGCCACAGTTTGTGGTAATTTGTTTCAGTGATGACAGGAAACTACCACAGGTCTCGCCCACCTCCAGGGACTTGGCTAACCCTGTTCTTATTTACAACAATCTTAGGAGCATCCCTTTCATGACAGCTTGAGATCTAGGTCCAGCCTCTTTCCAGAAATATTAGACAGTATGCTCTCAGGGGAGTCTTAGTGACTATGTGGGAGCAAAGGAGAAGGCCTCAGATAGTGTCTGATCATCGCTTTGGAACTCACCTCCCGTGTTCAGTTAAGTCAGTAATAAAGGGTTTCTTTCAGACTGCTGAGGATCCAGGATCAGTTTAAATCTGACTCTAATTTCACCTTCTCTTCTCTTCTTCCTTTCATTCATTCGGCAGGTACATTGGAAACCTTCTG